CTTCTGGTAGGCCTTATGAACAGACATGGAGAAAAAGGCATTTGCCAAATCAATGGCGGCATACCAGGTACCAGGAAATGTGTTAGTTTGCTCAAGCAATGAAACCACATCTGGTACAGCAGCTGCAATAGGAGTCACCACTTGGTTAAGCATATGATAATCCACTGTCATTCCCCAAGATCCATCTGTCTTCTACACAGCCCAAATGGGAGAGTTGAACTGGGATGTGGTGGGAATCACCACTCTGTCCTTGATGGTGGCACTAATCTCCACAATCCCTCCAGGGATGTGATATATATATATATATTTTATTTACTGCTTTTCTAGGTACAGGCAGCTCTAATGGCTTCCATTTGGCCTTTCCCACTATAGTAGCACTCACCCTACCAGTCAGGAAGCCAATGTGGATGTTCTGCCAGCTGCTAAGTATGTCTATGCCAATTATGCATTCTGGCACTGGGAAAATGACCATAGGATGAGTCTGGGGACCCATTATAAGTCAGATCTGAGCTAAAACTCCACTAATTACCTGACCTCCATAAGCCCCTACGTTAACTGGAGGACCACAATGACGTTTTGGGTCCCCTGGAATCAATGTCAGCTCAGACAGCCAGTGTCCAGTAGTTCCTGAAATGTCTGGTCATTTCCTATTCCCCAATGCAGTTACCCTGGTAAAAGGCTGGAGGTCCCCTTGGGGAAGGATGGGAGAAAGATTCACTGCATAAATTGTCAGTAATGTAGTGGGGTCCTTCCTCAAGGGGACCTGGCCTCCTCTTCATTCAAGGGGTTATGGGTTTGTTAACTGGCTCAAGTCTGGAAATTGAGGGGCTGTGATTCTCTATTTTTATAATTCAAATTAGTCTTTTGTGTATTTGACCTAGAAGTTTTCTTTTGTATAATTTAAGTAGGAATGCAGTAAGCTTCCTATCAATTTCACTTCTAGAATGTAATTAGCCAATGTCAGAGCTCTACATGAGTCATACTATTCTGATTTCCACTTTGCCTCTCCTTTACATAGCTATGCCCACTTTACATTTGACAGTTGAGTGCTGCCACTTGGCCCGGGCCACCTCAGGATCCAATTATTCCCATTGTACTTAAATTTTGTAGTTGAGTGACTGCCGTTCCAACCATTAGATCTGACATACAAAGAAGAGCAATTACAGAGCTCTTCAAAGATGCAGGTGCTGCCCTCAAAAATCCACTTCACAAGGTATTGGTCAAGGGTATATCTTCTGGACCCTCCCAGCTGGAATGAGTAGTTTTAAAGTGACTAATCTACTCCACCATCCCAATCTCCCTAAGCCTTTGGATCCCTTCCTCTACGTCAAACTAAGGGAGATCAGGTATTTCCAGCTCGCTCACAGTGGGCCATCTTTTAATCCTTATTTCAGCTAACCAAGCAAATAAACTATTAGAACCTTTTTTAACTCCACAAACTGCAACATTAAATACAGAGTCCCTACTTAGTGGACCGAAATCAATAAATTCACCCTGATCCAACTCTATGTTCTTTCCCCCATTATCCCGTACCCTTAATATCCATTCCCATGCATGTTCTCCAGATTTCTGTTTATGTAAATTAGAGAACTCAAGCACTTCTTTTCCAGTGTAGTGCACTTTCTCAAGGGTGACACTGTAAACCTCACCTCTAGGGGCCCGCCAGGACTTTAGTCTAGTTATAAGTCTAGAAGCAAACAGGGGTTTTGGGGGTGGCTCCTGAGGAGAATCAACATTATTTTGCCTGGCAACTGCCTCAGGTGAGGCTATCACTGTTGCCTCAGGCAGCACTTGGGTTTATCTCCTCAGACAAAGGTAAAAAGGCTGATGGCAGCATGGATCAGGGAGAGGGTGTTGCCACTACTGGGGATGGGGAAGCTGTTCTTTCTGGCAAAAAGGTTCATCAGAGTTTAAAAACTCAGTGTCCCGTGCTTCATCAGGGTCCTCCCACACATCCCCATTCTAAGTTGCAGGGTCCCATTTTTTTTCCAATCAATGCACTCACTTTAACAGTAGACACCTGGAGAGGCTGTCCATGCACCTTTCATTATAGATCAGCCACTCACATGATAAGAACTTGTGTCTGCTTTTCAACAATTTCAGCTATTTCTCTACAGGAGATAAGATTCTTACTCAGGGCAATCTTAGCAGATTTGAGGCTCAGTATCTGCTCCTGAACCTGGGAGAAAGAATCCCTGAGGCCATCATCTTCTTTCATCACTTTGCCCACTGAACTTAGGAGCAACCAACCAGCTTCATTATGTTCCTTGATTCTCCACATATGGTCAAAGGTATTATGTAGAGAATCACTAAACTCCTTGCCTCTCATGAGCAGTGAATCAAGAGTGTCAAATGCATTTATTTTGCATATGTCTTACAACAGTTTATGCCAAGGACTATCAATGTTCTCCACACTATTAAAAGTAGAATCCTTAGCATTTTGGGGTCTAATCATATTAAGCAGTCAACTCCAGAAACCCCCAAATCAATGAAAGAACCCCATCTTTAATATTCTGTTTCTCTAGAACCACTCCTGTTACCAAAATCTATTAGATTTTGTATTACATATAGATTATATTAGTAATAGATTATATTACTATTGGATTTTATATTACATATAGATTACATTAGTCATCTATATGTATTAGGGTTCCATGGAGGGACAGAACTAATAGGATATATATACACACATACATATAAGGGGTAGTTTATTAAGTATTAACTTACACAATCACAAGGTCCCACAATAGGCTGTCTGCAAGCTTGAGGAACAAGGAGAGCCAATCTGAGTCTCAAAACTGAAGAATATGGAATCAGATGTTTGAGGGCAGGAAGCATCCAGCATGGGAGAAAGATGTAGGCTGGGAGGCTAGGCCAGTCTCGCCTCTTCACGTTTTTCTGCCTGCTTTATATTCGTTGGCAGCTTATTAGATTGTGCCCACCAGATTAAGGGTGGGTCTGCTTACAGAAAAAAAGTAGTCAGAAAGGTGTTAATAAAATGTGAGGAAAATAGAGTGATCAAGGGACAGAAAGTGCATATGTGGTCAAAGTGTAATGGAAGAATATTTTAAGGACCAGACACTGGGATCAGAGGGCAGGATCCTGGAGTACTGCCCAAGTAGAGGTTGGTTGATGGGGAAAGAAATAGAATATACTGGAGTCAACAATGTCTGGCAGTTTGGAGACTGGGTTGTTGGATTGTCTGACAAATGTTAAAATATCCTAGGACTGTGTCTCAAATAAATGGGGACAATGACTGACAGATATTCCAAAATCATCTATGAAGGAAAGGAACTGTAATGGTTAATACAGAGTGTGAACTCAATTGGATTGAAGGATACAAAGTATTGATCCAGGCTGTGTCTGTGAGGGTGTTTCCAAAAGATATTAACATTTGAGTCAGTGGGCCAGGGAAGGCAGACCCACCCTTAGTCTGGTGGGCACAATCTAATCAGCTGCCAGTGAATATAAAGTAGGCAGAAAAACATGAAAAGGAGAGACAGGCCTAGCCTCCCAGCCTACATCTTTCTCCATGCTGAATGCTTCCTGCCCTCGAACACTGGACTCCAGGTTCTTCAGTTTGGGGACTCAAACTGGCTCTCCTTGCTCCTCAGCTTACAGATAGCCTATTGTGGGACCTTACTCCTCAGCTTGCAGAGAGGAGACTGCAGAGGAAGTTAGGTCTTCAAGAACATCTAGGTCTCAGTTAAGAAAAAGGAGTTGCAAAACCCCGTCTCTACTAAAAATACAAAAATTAGCCAGGCGTGGTGGTGCAGACCTGTAATCCCAGCTACTCCAGAGGCTGAGGCAGGAGAATCGCTTGAACCTGGGGGATGGAGGTTGCAGTGAGCCAAGATTGCGCCACCTCACTCCAGCCTGGGCATAAGGATGAAACTCCCTCTCAAAAGTTAAAAATAAAAGAAAAAAGGGTTGAAGAGTCTCACTCTTTGGGGACATAGAGGAGTGTATGTTAACAATGGAAGAAGGGCTAAAGGTCACCAACACCCCTGAAGAATTCTCAGGTCCTTGGTAGGGGTAAATGACAGTCTGACTCAAACTCAGTTTATGTTTCAATAAATGTAAGAATCCTCCATCTACTGAAGGAGAATTTCAATGTAACCATGACATCTACACCCTATAAAACATTAACAGTATCAATATTAATGCAAGGAAAGCTTTTTATGCCAGAATAAATAAAAATAAAGGTATGAGTTTACATATGAGACAATGTGACTCTCAGCAGGAATGCATAAGTTTCCTCTAAACTTGCTCTGGCTCACTCATACTCTTTGTCTCCTTTCATTTGCGTTTCTGGTTTCTTTTCTCATTATCGAAACTATTTACTTGACAGATGATAGAATCCCAGCTGAAGGTGGAGTACAATTAGCATATAAACAAGATTTTTAAAGTGCTGGAACAGAGATGGACTTTAGAGCCTTATGCTCTCTGGAGACTTGACCCCAAAATAATCAAGAGAGATTGTGCTTGGGCGATCCCCAGCCAGCCCTAAAAATGCCCGTGCTTTGCCTTGGGTGATCTAGGGTGCATCATCATATAACTTGGCTGCAAGTTGCCACCAGGTCTTTCATTTGGCTTTAATACTCTAAATAAAGACTTAGTAACAAGTACATAGTCCTTGAAATAAATGTGGTAGAGTGGAAAAAATGAAGATATTAAGACTCAGATAAGCCTGGTTCTGAACGTCAGTTGCCATGTCCAACTGTACTTCCCGTGGCAAGTTACTTCAACTCTGAATAATAATAGCAGAAGTCACCATGTAAGATAAGTCAGCAAAGGGCCAAGTATTTTATGTGCCAAATCAGAATATCCCCTACTCTACTAGTATCCTGGGGTCAGCCTCCTCTAACAAAATAGCCTGAGCCCCTAGGCAACATGCTACATCAGAGAAGTCTAATATTTTCTCCAGTATTTCTAAGATGGACCCAAATGTGCTTCAAATTTCTGCTGTCAGCTCACCTCTTACCTCTTCTCTCCCTCTTCCTCCTGAGATGTTGTTCTCTCTCCTCTCCTCTTTCATTGAAGGTTAAATAAGGCTCCTTCTCCTTAGGCCTCCACATAATACAACACAAAGTTTTTCCCAATGGTTTGGTGATATGGAAGCAATTACAGAAAAGGAAACAGGCTGGAGTTTAATATCACAGTCTCGCCAACCCCACTACCACTTCTAGAACCTAGGCCTAAGGCTGCCATGTACCTGGGATCTCAACCTCCCACTGTGAGCTTTCTCTCATTTTCTCAGCTACAGGGCTAGAAAACAGAAATTTTCTGTTACTTTGTTATGTAGGGCACTTTTAGACCCCCTTAGTCTTATTTCATACCCCTGAGCTTTGCCTTCGATAACCACAAGCGGCCCTTTAATGTGAGTTTTCTAGGCTGAATGATATGAAGCTTTGAAATGGCAATTTTTCTTGCACTTCTGATCAGCAACCCCTCTCTTATCAATAGTTCTTGTAAGTAGAAAGGAAGTAAATAGAAAAGTAATTCTCACCCTGTCCCTAGCATAGGGGTCATGAAGTTCTGGGATTCCATTCTCCTCTTATACAGATGTCACTTTAAACCTGTGAGTAAATTTAAGCTTAGAGAATTGAAATAATTTTCTCAGTGTCATAAAGCTAGTAGGTAATATTTTAGAACTCAGTGCGTAGACTTCCGCTCCCTCTTGGAAGTCAGTTGCCATGTAAAAAGTCCAACCACCTTGAGACCACCATGATGTAAGGAAGCCCAGTTAGCCATGTGGAGAAAAAAAGCCTTGTAGAGAGCATTGAGGAACCAGACATATGAATGAAGCCTTCTTGGATCTCCCAACCCATGTTAGGCACTAGCTGAATGCAGATGAATGAATGACAACAGCCAGTGTCATATGAAACAGAACTATCTGGCCAAACTACATCCAAATTGCTAACTATTCCTGTTTATAAACCCAAAAGATTAAAGAAACAACAGATTAAAGACTATTTGATTTGACAAACAGTTGCATTCCTTCATTTATTCATGTACAATACATTCATTAAGCATCTACTATGTGCCGGGCACTGCTCTAGGACCAGTGGACTACACCACGGAAGGGGTAAACAAGGCCTTTTCTCAAGGAACTTCAATTCTAATGCTAGGAAGACAGACAACACGTAAAGAAACAAATCAATAAAGTATAAAATGTTGGGGGTAGGTCGGGCACAGTGGCTCATGCCTGTAATCCCAGCACTTTGGGAGGCCGAGGTGGGCAGATCACAAGGTCAGGAGATCGAGACCATCCTGGCTAACATGGTGAAACCCTGTCTTTACTAAAAATAAAAAAAAAAAAAAAAAAAATTAGCCGGGCATGGTGGCGGGTGCCTGTAGTCCCAGCTACTTGGGAGGCTGAGGCAGGAGAATGGTGTAAACCCAGTAGACAGAGCTTGCAATGAGCCGAGATGGTGCCACTACACTCCAGCCTGGGCAACTGAGCAAGACTTTGTCTCAAAAAACAAACAAACAAACAAACAAACAAACAAACAATGTGGGGGGTAATGGTAAAAATTATGAAGAAAAATAGTGTGATCCAGGGATACAGGTGGGAGCAGGGAAGGATGTTGGTCAGGAAGAAGTGTCTATTTTTAAAGTCCTCTCTGAAAAAGTGACTTTTGAGCAGCTTTGAATGAATCGAGAGGGTGAACTATGTGAAGGAATGAAGGAAGAACATTCTAAGAAGAAGGAAAAACAAATAAAAGCCCTGAGGAAGAAACAAGCTTGGTTACTCAAGGAAGAGCAAGAAGGGCAGTGTGGCTGGAGTGATAAGAGAAAGGGGTAAGATTGGAGAGACTCACAGGGGTCACACACTGGAGGGCCCACATGCCTCAGTGGGGAGTGTGGATTTTATTCTAGTGTGCTCTCGGAAGGCACTGGAGGTCTTTGAGCCATCTGTCCTGGCTGCTGCGTGAAGCACAGACAACAGAGGGGAAAGCGTGTAAGCAGAGAAACTGGGAGGTTATTGTAATTGTCCGGATGAACAATGATAGTGGCCTGAACCTGGGTGGTAAGAAGTGATAAGACACAGGGTTTAGTCTGAACAGAGTACCTCAATTTCACATAAAATTATTATTCAGAGTGAATCCTCAGCTCTGAGGTTTGGAAGCATTTCCATTTTTTTAAACTGATGATTGAAAGAGCTGAGCTGAGTACTTCATCAATGCCCTGGGAGGCAATGCTTGGCATTCCAAGCCTGCCCTTTGAGTGCAGAGAGGCCCAAATCACCAGGACAGCACTCAGGTGGGCAGAGCAGAAATCTTATTGGATCCAAAGGGAAAGCCCCATGTAAGCATGCATCAAAGCGGCCTCTGCTTCTCTTCCTAGGTGAGAGATCAGCTAACTTTTCAGTCAGTCATACAACTATCATTGTGGCTGTCCTCTCTGACACCTTAGAGGAGATCTTAGTTGTTTGGCACGTTCCTTGGAGAACAATGGAATTAAACCTTTTGTAGCCTAACAAATATTCCTCAATATGCAGAGCTGATTTCTGGGGAAAAGAAGGACCAGTTGGCATATGGCATTCGGAATCTTTTGGAAAGGAAGTAACCTAGATTCCTACTCCTTCCTACCCAACATTTAAAATTACAGAAGCAGGAGTGGCCTGACCATGTTTTGTTGGCAGGAAAGGATCCTAAAGGCCCCAAAGACAAGAGGGGTGACGGGATGCCATGCTGGGGACTCAGGCTTATCACTGGGGCCTGAGGCTTATGGGTTTGAATCAACTCTGGGAGAGTGTATGGCTGAGGCAGAAAGAGGCTCACAGTGAAGTCAACAGAACTCAGGGTATTCCTTTGGGAGCAATGTTTTAAGAGTGAGAGTGTGAAACTTAGGGAGCTGTACCCTTGCAGCCTAAGTGTGGGCTCAACAGTACTGACAATAGCCTAGAACTTTGAAGATGCCATGGGATTGGCAAATAGTTTTCAACAGGGATACCACGTGGCAGCGGGAAACATAAAGTGCATTGGATCAGACCCTGCTTTGTCACCTATTGTGTTTGAGCCAAAAGTCTGGCTCCCTTTGGACTGAGTGACTCCCTGGTGTTCAGAAAAATGGAAGAGAAAAGGGCATCTCATGAGATCCTGGATTTCCTACAAATAAGGATAAAAGTGTACCCTGGTGATTAACTGAAGAAATGAAAAGCACCATCTACTTACTTGGTAGTGGCCACATATGCAGTATGGTATATGGTACAGCATATATATGATAAATAATATATATACCTGATATGTATGGAAAAGACATGCTGCCTTACAATCATGAAAATTTGGCAAAAGCTGTCTTTTCTGGTAGGACAATGGGTGTTTTTATTTATCTTTTTAATTGTATGGACTTTCAAATACTCTAAAAATTTTCTACATGCATTACTTTTTCCAAAAAAAGTAAATCAAATATAAAAGAAGGGAACGTTTAGCCCTCATCCTGCCAGACAAATGCCCCTGCGGGTGACCCCAGGAACTTATCACCAATGATAACTTCCACATCCTTTTGTGGCTCCTGTGATAGCCATAAGTGGTGATTCCTAGGCCAGTGAGTGGCCAGGACCTGTGCTCCCCTCAGCAGGAATCCTGGCCGGCCTGTCTTCCCCAGCCCAGAATAGGACGAATAGGAGGACCTTCCTGGCCTCCTGTTACTGATCAGGCTCCTTCCCTCTACCGTTCTGGGGACGCTAATGAGGTGACCACTCATGGGTGTCAAGAAGGGATTTCCCACACAGGCTCCTTTGTACCACATGTGGCTTTGCAGAGTTTCACTTCAGGTGCCAGGTGGCACACCCACACAGAGACAAACAGACCCTCTTTCATATGATTTGCATGACCCGGCCTATCCTCCTGGGGTCACTTCATTGTCACTAACATTTACATATGGCACTCACCTGGCCTGAGCTCTGTGCTGAAGGCTGAGACGCACGCAAAGATGAAAGCTCCAACTGTCTTCAACACATCTTCAATCTAGATGGGACCTGGGGGACATAGAAGAAAGAGTCGCTGACACAAAGTAGAACATGCTGAGGGTTAAAATAGGGATAATCTCCTGATTGACTTCCTCCCATGCCAACCAAAATTACTCCTATCTGTTATCAGGTTCAGCCTTCCAAACCTCTCCAATGAGTGCCCTCGTATCCCTTCCCACCACCTCTGCAATGGTTCAGTCCTCATCCAGCTGTTACCAAGGCTCTTGTACTGGCCTCTGACCACCATTCTTCCTTCATGCATTTGCATTGCCAGAAGGTAATCCTTCATTGCTGTGTTAGTCAGCATTCTTCAGGGAGATAGAACCAATGGGCTATATAGGGTGAGTGTGTGTGTATGTGCGTGTGTGTGTGTGTGTCCTGTCCTTAAAAACATTGAATAGCCTCCCATTACCTTCATGAGGAAGTCTTAACTCCTTAGCACAACACTTTCTTCTATGTCCCCCAGGTCCTGTCTAGATGCCTTTCCCAGTGTAACTGTAACCTATCTTTCCCACCTGAGCTCTGTCTTTAAATTTTTTCTTACCGTGCTCCAGCCCCAAGAAGAAGGCCCCTATAGCCATCCCCCTCCCCACTTCGCTCCCCACAAACACAGCACTTCGAGAGGCCAAGTCGGGAGGATCACCTGAGGTCAGGAGTTTGAGACCAGCCTGGCCAACATGGTGAAATCTCATCTCTACTAAAATACAAAAATTAGCCAGGCGTGGCGGTGGGCTCCTGTAATCCTAGTTACTTGGGAGGCTGAGGCATGAGAATTGCTTGAACCCAGGAGGCGGAGGTTGCAGTGAGCCAAGATCACGCCACTGCACTCCAGCCTTGGTGACAGAGCGAGACTGTTTCGAAAACAAACAACAACAACAAAAATACTCTAACAAGACCAGATTTATCAACATTCCTTAAATTCGACATAGCCTGAAATATCCTTTTCTTTAACTTCTGCTTTTCTTTTCTCTTTTTCTTTTTTCTTTTTTGAGATGGAGTCTCACTCTGTTGCCCAGGCTGGAGTGCAGTGGTGCCATCTCAGCTCGCTATAACCTCTGCCTCCCGGGTTCAAGCAATTCTCCTTCCTTAGCCTTCCGAGTAGCTGGAATTACAGGCACACACCACCACAATCAGCTGATTTTTGAATATTTAGTAGAGACGGGGTTTCACCATGTTGACAAGCTGGTCTTGAACTCCTGACCTCAAGCGATCTGCCCTCCTCAGCCTTCCAAAATGCTGGGATTACAGGCTGAGCCACCTAAATTCTGCTTTTCAAAATTCTGTTCACTCTTCAGGGTACAATTCAAATGTTTTCTTTTCCACGGAGCCTTTTTCAGACTCTAGCTGGGAATTAATCCCACCTCAGACCACAACACTTGGCTTATATCTTCTTAAACGCATTCATTGTGTTATGCTTTGCCATCATCAACTTAACCTTGAGCTCCCAGAAAACAAATACCACATACCACATGTCATTTCCCTTTGTGTCCTCAACAACACAGGGCATTGCACACAGCAGACACTTCTCCTCCTCTTTGAATCAAGAAGCAAGTCATTCTTATCTTATTTTCAATACAAGAAATATTTAAGAAGCCCATGACTAAGGGCATGGTCCACAGATGTCAGGTGACTGAGAGGTACTAATTGATCCAAGGATGGATATCAATCTTCATAATTTAATGTTGTTCAGTGAATTTACTTATATTGGTGTCTCTTTCCCTCCCCAATACTCCCTCTCTCTCTGTACCCACACACACAAACACACACTCACACTCACACACACATCTCCTATATATCCCATTGGTTCTGTTTCCCTGGAGAATCCTAATATGGCAATGAACTCTTAATGGGCCGGAAAATTAAGCCACTCCTGCCAGCATAGAGAGCCTGGTCCCAAGAGAAGTTGCATGTCAATACAATACAGTTTTTCATATAGGAACATGTTTTCCCTAGCTCTGACCTTTCCCCCACGTGAAGGGACGTCCGTTCATGTGACATTCCTGGCCCTTCCCACCCTTCACCTGGTTGGTGAGTTGGAGGGAAGCACCAGACAGAGTCTTCCAGCCCCTTCCTCTGTTTCTTTTTATTCCCTTCTGCCTTCTTATGCTCAAAGTCTTACCTGGAAATATGCCCCCTGCTGGGACAGGGTAGGCAGGTCTGCCCAATCCTGTGCTCAAATAGCAGGGTCATTTGTTTCTCACTGTAAGTTGCTTCTTCCCATGTAGCTTCTGGCAAGTAATAAAGATAATATTTTTGTCTCCCTCTTTACTGTTGTGTCTCCTGTTCAGAATCCCAGGCAGGGAGGAGGCCCCCAGGCAATGCATGTATCTTGACTTCACAGCTTCTGAAGTGTGCCTACCTAATGAATAGCCCAAGGTGGGCCCTTGGACAATGCCCAAGAACGCTGGAGTGATGGAGCTGAAGTGGTCTCAAAGGTGTCGAGTCCAGCCCCGCTTGGTACTGAGGAGGATTATCACACTTGCTTCTACCACATGGGAGGTCATGAGGAGCAAATAAGAACATATATGTAAAAATTTCTGTAAAGCCCATTCTGGTATAAAATGTAAGGCGGAATTACTATTGTGCCTGCCATAATCCTGTTGATGTGGGATCCCAGATACCCACCCCACCAAGCTCCACCCAAGTCCCCCTAAGGCCATTACATTCATGCCCTCAATAAAGACAGTTTTCCCAATCTTATACTTGGTTCCTGGCCAAACCACTTCCAAACCTGACTTTGAGGCTTCCCTCCCTCTCCTTCCTTCTCCTCTCCTCCATCCCCTCCCTCTCCTTCCTTCCCTCCTTTACTTATCCAGGACAAGGAGATGGGGTTAGAGGGGTGAGATGTGGAGAAAGGCATAAGCATGACTCAACCTGAGGGTATTTTTCCGCCACTGCTCAAGCAGATAGTGTATTTTATAGTCTGCCAGTCCCCAGAGAAAGTTGGGAGCTTTTTGGTTTTATGCCATATTTGGGTGCACTCACCTCCTTTGGGGAAAAGGAAAACATTCTAGCAGCACAGAGCAGTCCTGCCTGCACAGAAAGTCCTGCAGCCTTAACTCACAAGCCCTCGGAATTCCTGTAGGTGGGGCCAGGAGACGGGTGAGTCTGTGAAAGGGACGGTGCACCTTGCTGCTGCCCGCTTAAGCTCTCTGCCAGAGAGCAACTCTGCTTCCGAGATGATAGCAGCAATCCCACCTCTAGCTCCCGGCTCCCATTTGGTGGAAAACTGTCTGAGCAAAAATCTCACCCTGAGCCAGCTGGTTTCCTTCTCTCTAGGTCAACCTCTAGAGAGAAGGGTGAGGGAAGAGGACCGAGGAGGAGAGGGGTATTTAGAACAAGAAAAGGGTCAAGAAGGGTTTTGTTCTCTTCCCAAAAGGAGTGAGCCTGCAGAGCCTAAGAATTCCTCTTTACAAGCTGGGAGGATTGAAGCCACAGCCGACCAAAGGATGCCATGCATTTGGCACTGATCATCCCTCATCTAGACCATAAGAGGCCCTGTGATGCCTCAACCTCACCCCTGCTGCCAGAACATATGTGGCAAATGCTGTGACTGCAAATTCTTAAGGAACAGGGCTTTGGAGGAAGTGAGGCCCTTACTCTGGGTGGGAGTTCAAACCAGGAGACACATCTGGGAGGACACGGTCCAAGGGTGATCTGGAAGGTGCCCAAGGGAGCTCAAGGGGATCCTGGGACTAGGAGCCTGTGTTGGGGCACAGTTTGATGTTATATTTTCTCCCTTCCCAGCTGTCTTCCCCACTTTGACAGAAACAAAACATCAAGCACTATGAATGAATATTAGTCCACAAACTTGGTTGTACAAGAAATAGAAATGTCCTACAGCTTTATTTACTTTCATTTTAATGTGCCTCTGAGCCCCATTCCCTCCAGTCTGGTGGGAAATCCAGTCCGGTCATTACTGCAGCCCCCACCTACCCACTAGGGTAATGCAAAGGGCCTGGGCATCAGGTTCTCTAAGCAAGCTTGAGCTGCAAGAGAAACTTCCTTCCTGTGGAGCCTGCAGGAAAAGGAATGCAACCAAGTAGAAGAGGGGACACACTGTCACTCTGGGAAATGTTTTTAGGAACTTAATTATCATTGCTTTGTGATAACTCAGCAAAGGAAGTTTTTGAAAGAAGGATTTTGTCTTTCATTTAGAGATCCAATTCTAGTCTCCCAAATGTGATCTAAATTTTGCTTATCCATTCATTCAACAGATGCTCTTCTAGGTGCTGGGGATGCATCAGCAATGCCTGCTTTCATGAAGCTCATATTCTAGCAGGTGATGACAGAAAATAAATAATAAAGCATAATAAATCAACTGGATGGTATGGTAGAAGGAGATAAATGCTTTAGAAAGAAAATGTAGAACAAAATAAGAGAGATCAGCAGTATCGGCAAGAGAACCAGTCATACTTTTAATAGGGAGATCAGACAGTTGAGTAAACACTGAAAGAGGTGAGGGAGATGAACGACCTAGACAGAAGTAACAGCCAGCACAAAGACCCTGAAGTGGGAGTGTGCCTGGGTGTTATAAGAACAGCAAAGAGGCCAGTGTGTCTGGGGCTGTCAGAGGGAACACAGGATAAAATAGGGGGAGTTGGAGTGGAGAAGTAACAGGGTCCAAGTCAGATAAGGTCTTGTAAGCCTTTTCCCCAATTTGTAATCCACCACCTGGAATAGAAATTGCCATAAGCTCCACTTCCATTTCTGTATCCCCAATCCCTGGCATATTACCTGCCCCCAGTAAATACTTGTCAAGTGGATCATTGCAGGTGCAACGCACTAATGATGTCCTACTGCATGCATCAGCGCTGAGTCATCACTGCCAACCAACAGGGGATTCCATTTCCCCTCCCCAACACTTCCATGTCCCCCTCCAACCCTGCAAGCATCCCTGATGCAATATAAGACTTAGTGTAGTCACAACCCGTGTCTTCACCCACTCTGAAGGGGGATACCCCAGGTCTCCAGAAACCATTTTATATTAGATTCTTGTAGAAAAGGGCTGAGAATGCAGGTCATGCGACCAAAGAAACAGGTCAGCATTCTTAATTGTCATAAGTTAACTTATCTTCTGGCCCTGTACTTCCACCTTTTATGGCTCTGCATCAGCGTCCCCCTTCCTCCCTCCCTCTTCCAGAGGCCATTCAAAGAGCACTAAAGATTTCCCCAGGAAGGAATTCCTGTGCAGAGTCAAAGCATGTATAAGGCACACTAATAAGCAAGGGAGATGAGGTGTACTTAGTCTATTTTCACTTAAGACAGCGCAAGCCAGCATACCAAATTTGTCCTAGGGCCTAGCCCTGTCAGCCAACAATTGAAAGAAGAAAGGAATTATCATGCTCCACCCCACTTCTACTTTACCTCATGACCTGACAAGACCTTGCTTCTTGCCCCTCAAAAGTCAGGGCTCTACATTTCTGGGAGAGACCAGGGGTCAGATCAGGTCAGCATATTCTTACAGGACATTTCCTCCCAGAAAAAAACTAAAGTGTCACCTTTGGGCACCAGGGCTGTCGCACCTGGGAATTAGATATGATGAAACTAGGCACCTTTTAATAAAACTTTGAAATGCTTTTCAAATTTTCAACGTTTTTATTTGACTCTCAGAGCGGCATTAATCTTGTCTCTCCCCACACGTTCTAAAAGCGCTCTTGCATTCTCTCTCAGTCACTGCCTCCTGGGGCAGGTGCCACCTCACAAGACTAAGAAGGCAGGCCTCTGCCAGCCCCGCAAGGACTCGCAGACAAAGGAGAACAATGGGAATGAGTATAAAGGTGCTCTAGAAAGGTAAAAGCTTTAGACAAATGTTACTCAGAGGTCAGTGCAGGTCGCTATGCTCTTTAAAATATACATCTGATTGGCTCAAACCCCTATATTATGTCCAAGGGAAAAATCTAATGCCTCCCTTGAGAGTTCTGCAAATTGCAAGGGAGCTTATATTCTCCTCTCACCTCTGGCCCCAATTTCCTGCCCTTGCTGAATTCTTATTCTCTGTTCTCCATAATTCTGCACCTTCTTCATCCAACCTTATCCTCTCACCTAAAAGCAATCATTTTTACAAGCGCTGCACGTTAGCAGAATTTTTATTGATGGTTTGTAGGTCATGAGGGATGGGTTACATTTTCTCACCACACAGCAAACAACCTAACATCTGATACTAGATGTCCCATTTCTTGAACATTCTCCGGGGATTTCTCACTGGCCATGCCTTAATGTGCAACACCACAGCTCCTCTATCCCTGTCTCCCCTGAGAATTCTTCCTACTTCTGGCTGAGAGCATGGTAGTTCTCTCCCCTGCCTTGCATATCTGAAGCCCATCTAGGTGTGCAATGGAACCAAAATCCTTTGGCTCCTTTAGAAGCATCAGCTTTCAAAGACAGCTGCTTTCAATGTTGATCCTTTTTCTTCGTTTCGCCAATATAATGACGACTTTAATTCTAATTCATTAGAAAGCAGAGAAAAAGTCTTTCATTTCATTTATAAGCCCACTCTCTGATTTGTAGCATTCTCTGCCCTACTATCCTTTAGGCACTGAGCCTCTAATTACATTCATGGCTAATCAAGTGAACTTTCTACCTCAATCTACCTGCCCAAACAGCATCAGCACACCGCATCCTGTAAGTAATCCAAGACATTACTATGTTATAACTGCTGCAAATGTTTCTGCCACCAAGTGGTCTTAACCTGGGGTCATGGAAACCCTAAGGAAGCTAGGCACAACTTCAGGATGTCTGTGACTCTCCTAAAACTGTAGGCTTTTAAGTGCATTTTTTTAAGGACAGGGCTTGTAACTTTAATAAGATATTTACAAGCATCTGCAACCTAATAAGATATTTATAGGCATCTCCAACCCCCTCTCCACCCTAAAAAGGCTTTATCCACTATTGATAGCCAGTGAGCAGGACTGTGTCAAGCTCTGCGTGAACATTACAGCCTAAGGTGGTAATGTAGCCTTAAACCAGGTCACTCTTTAATTGGCAATCTGGGAAAAAGAAGAAATCATTATGAAAAGATCTAAATTTTCAAAAATACCTGCTATGGAAGTTGTGAAAAATCAACAGGAGTTAAAGGCAGGGAAAATAAAAATATTACAAAAATGTTAAGACAGATCTTTTAAAAAATGTAATTCAATAAGCTAATGCCCAAGAACTAATGCCTTTTCTCAGACATTGACAGAGTAATTCTGGAATGCAGAGACTTACTCCTGTATTTCACACTCTGAAGAGTCTGGTTTTATAACTTAAAAATATTAACCATAAAAACAAAGATGAACCAGATACAAAGATTTATTGTATCCATTGGAGATGGGCTTAGCTCATATAAAACAATCGACACAAAGGTAAGGATAGATGGAAGCCTAGAGCCAATTAAAACTAAATGGGAAGGAGATTTAAGTCTGAAAACTGGAGATAAGGGCTGGCAATTATCCTGTCATCTAACCAAACACACAACTGCTACTATTCTGGGTGACTTGATGTACTTTTAATTATCATATCATGCGTTTGAATCTAGCTTTAAAATTGACTGTTAAAAAATATTAAGCTCTTTTCCCAATGAATTGGGGGGAGAAATATTTCTTTCTGTCCACATGGTTTCTCTACACAGAGACACAGTGGTGCAGTGCCATTAAAACTGTATCATAAACTACAGAGAAAGAACTCTCACCATCTCCTGATCTGTGTTTACCTGATATTAATTCTCAGTTGAATGTGGAAATGGTTAGTTTTGCCTCATTTACACTGTTGATAGTCTTACACCAGATTACAAGAAAATAGATGAGAAAGAAGGCCCTTAAATGGTAAGTAGCTTAAAAGTCTTAACTAAACTTGCCCAGTGGGATACAGCACTACCTTTATGTTCTGGGCAAGAGGGTCCCTGCCCCAGACCTATGTGTTAGAGGGTCTCCTATTTCTCACATTATACACATATCAACTTACTGAAGATAATATGAACACCTCTGTCACTTGGGATCTGGTGCTCGACTCTGATGCAGAGCAACCCACAACTCTAAACATTCACTCTTGTTTCTAGGAGTCTTTGGGCCTCAGGGAAACATTTTGCATCTCTTGCCCATATCCTTGAAACAGAAGGCAGCTGCATCTGAATGCCATGAAGGTTTGTGGGGTTTGTCCTGCGGTGAACCATAGGGACAGTTTGAGCAGCAGAAGCACTTAGGTGTAAAAGACAGATTAACTTATCAAATTCTTCCTTTCAGCTTAAATGCAACACTTCTTGCATGGCAAATCTTTGTTTCCTAATAGTGCCAGATGTCTATTTTCTTCCTTCTCTTTATATTCTAATTTGAGGTTCCAGAAATAGTCACAAATTAACACAGTATTTGCAACAGATGCAGGTAGAAACTGAGGTGTATTTTGCAATATTAAACAAATCATATTGCCCTTAAATTTGTATGTAGGAGTGATCTATATGCTACTAATATTTTTATTGTCAACTAAACAGATTTTGAATACTAAAACTATAAATTGTTTTATTTCTATACAAACACTTAAAATATATAATTAAATTGTTTAAAGTTAAGTTAAAATTCAGCTTCATACAAAATTTTTATTTAAAGTATTTGCATTCAATACTTCTACTTCCAGGAAGATGGAATAGACATACGTAGACATATCTACGTCTCCCATTAAGTACAACCAAAAACCTTGGAAATTATATGTAAAATGAAGATAAGAAGATACTGAAAAGTACAGTGAGGAAAGCAGACTGGCTAAAGACTCCAAAGCCCAAGGAATAACAGAGCAGTGAGTTCTCTGGATTTCTTTTTGCCTCATATATCTCAGATTTGGAGCTAAACAAAATAACAACCCAGAAGCATCAAAAGGCACGGACCAAAAAAAAAAAAAAAAAAAAAAAACCTACAAAAGGAGCAGCGTAGCATGACAGGAAAATTTTACGTAATAACCATTCCTCTCTCACCAAACACCACAGAAAATAAACAAACAAACAAAAGCCAGTGGCCCACTCCTACCTGTGACAGCAAAGTCCAAGTAGGAGCCATTTCTCTACCGTTGAGAGACTGTAATGAGGTGTCTAACACATCTGCTGGAGTGGTGTCAGAGAAGGTCACATAGGCAGCTGAGACTTTCATCTCCACTTGCCAGTAACAAGTTTCCCAATCCACCTCTCACCATGGTGTCCATGGAGACAACATTGGAAGCCTGAACTTCTACCCTCTCATCCAGAAGTTACCAAGAAGCTCTTTTCCTCTCCTCTGGGGTGGTGCTGGTGGAGGTCACATAAAGAGTCCAAACTTTCATGACTACCGAGCAGTGAAAGAAAGCACCTTTACTACAGAATCAATGGAGATGACATGGGGAGCCAGAGCTCCAATCCTCACCTCACAGTAATAAGAAGCAGCCCCCTCAGGTGTCAGTTGTCAACAGAGAACAAAGTAAAGAACATGGTCTTTACCTTCACTTTGCAATAATAAGGTGGTGACCCTCACCCCTGTCCCCTGTACAGTGGTACCAAAAAGGCCAACAAAACAAGAAAGTTTAAATAAAATAGAGTCTCAGACCATGATATGAAAATGTTCAGGTTTCTATTGAAAATCTTTCCTCATACCAACAGCCAGGAACATCTCAAACTGACTGAAGAAAGACAATCATCAATAAATGCCAATGCTGAGATGAAATAGATATTGGAATGGTCCTACAAAGATTTTGGAGCAGCTACCCAAATTGAAAAGTAAGAAGTTAAATTATCCTTGTTTGCAGACAATAAGATCTTATATTTGGAAAAACCTAGACTCCACAAGAAAACTATTATAACTGATAAATAAATTCAGTTTGCAAAACCAGGATACAAAATCAACATATAAAAATCAGTAGCATTTCTATATGCCAACAGTGAACAGTGTGAAACATAAATTTAAAAAGTAATCCCATTTACAAAAACCACACATAAAATTAAAAACCTAGGAATTAACCAAACAAGTGAAAGATCTCTATAATGAAAACTATAAAACACTGATGAAAGGCCGGGCGCGATGGCTTAAGCCTGTAATCCCAGCACTTTGGGAGGCCGAGGCGGGCGGATCACGAGGTCAGGAGATCGAGACCATCCTGGCTAACACGGTGAAACCCCGTCTCTACTAAAAAAAAAAAATACAAAAAACTAGCCGGGCGAGGTGGTGGGTGCCTGTAGTCCCAGCTACTCGGGAGGCTGAGGCAGGAGAATGGCGTGAAGCCGGGAGGCGGAGCTTGCAGTGAGCCCAGATCCGGCCACTGCACTCCAGCCTGGGTGGCAGAGCGAGACTCCGTCTCAAAAAAAAAAAAGAAAAAAAATACTGATGAAAGAAATTGAACAGGACACTTCATGGATTGGAAGAATCGATATTGTTAAAATGTTCATACTACCCAAAGCAATCTATAGATTCAATGCAATCCCTATCAAAATACCAAGACATTCTACAAAGAAATAGAAAAAACAATCTGAAAATGTATATGGAACCAGAAAAGACCCAGAATAGCCAAAATTATACCAAGCCAAATTAAAAAAAAAAAAAACTGTGCAAATCACATTACCTGACTTAAAATTATGGTACAGAGCTATAGTAACCAAAACAGTGTGGTACTGGCATAAAAATCAACACATAGACCAATGGAACAGAATAGAGAACCCAGAAACAAATCCACACACCTAGAGTGAACTTATTTTCAACAAAGGAGCCAAGAATATATGCTGGGGAAAAGGCAGTCTCTTCAATAAATGGTGCTGGGAAAACTGGATATCCATATGATCCATATGCAGAAGTTGAAACTAGACCCCTCTCTCTCACCATATACAAAAATCAAATCAAAATGGATTAAAGACTTAAGTTGATGACCTCAAACTATGAAACTACTACAAAATATTGGGGAAAATCTCCAGGATATTGATCTGGGCAAAAATCTCTTGAGCAATGCTCCATAAACACAGGCAACTAAAGCAAAAATAAACAAATGAGATTGCAACAAGTTAAAAAGCTTCTGCTCAGAAAAGGATACAATCAATAAAGTAAAGAGACAACTCACAGAATTGGAGAAAATATTTGCAAACTACCCATCTGACAAGGGACTAATAACCAGAATACATAAGGAGCTCAAACAACCCTGTAGGGGGAAAAAAAAAAAATCTAATAATTAGATTTAAAAATGGGCAAAAGATTTGAATAGACATATATCAAAAGAAGACATACAGATGGCAGACAGGCATATAAAAAGGTGCTCAACATCATTGATCATCAGAGAACTGGAAATTAAAACTACAATGAGATATCATCTCATCCGTTAAAATGGTTTAAATCCAAAAGTCAGGCAATAACAAATGCCAGTAAGGATGTGGAGGAAAGGGAACTCTTGTATGCAGTTGGTGGGAATCTAAGTTAGTACAACCACTATGGAGAAAGGTTTGGAATTTCCTCAATAAACTAAAAATTGAGCTACCATTTGATCCAGCAATCTCATTACTGGGTATACACTCAAAAGAAAGGAAATCAGTATATAGAAGAAATATCTCCACTCATGTTTGTTGTAGCACTGTTCACAATATCTAAGATTCAGAAGCAATCTAAATGACCATCAACATAATTTGTATGTATTTTCAAACTTTAATATAGAATTGTAAATTCTTTAGAAGAAAACTTTTCAATAATGTACCTGAAATATAATGTTAACTCTGCCCTGTAACCTGTACATTGATTTTGGTACCTAACAGTTGCTTCTGTGTCTTTCTTCCTCTTCAAATCTGCAAATGACTTGGGGGTTATTATCCATCGGTGTATTATCCATCTTTGCATTTCCAGTACTTTAAATACTGCCCGGCACATATCAGGTAGTTAATAAATATTTGTGGAATGGCTGAATATCCAGCTTAAATGATTCTTCCAGTCTGTTGATTTCCTTGGTCTCCCCTTTTCTCATCCTTCCTCCTATATATTTAATTTCTTACTCTCCTGAAGTCCCTTAGACTTTTTTCACATAACTAATATGGAATTAATATATCATCTTGCAGTCAGCTCTGTGCATACTTGCCTAAGAGTTCCTCACAGGTGAGTAGTGTGCATTTTTTAGGCACTTTCTAGACACATCAAAGGGCGCAAAATTGATTGACAAATGAGTTAACAAATGAATGACCATGCAATACCTTATATATTATACAGTATTGATAATTTTTTTGCTTTATTCCAGGACCTTTTATACATATACACACACATACAAAGAAAGAGACAGTAAGACAAATAAAAACCACATAACCCACAAGGAAGAGCCCTGTTTAAGCAAAAGCACAAACTAAAAAGAATGAATATACGGTTGGAACCACTGCACAGCTTTTGAGTTTGGGGTTAGTTCCTGCAGATTATTCTTTGGGACTAATAGAAGGGGGGGGTGGTGAAATCTTCATATCATGCTACTTAGAGAGAAATCCCAGTATGAGTCCTATTTTTCACATACCAGGAGAAAAAGAGACACAAACATATGTTAAAATCACCAAATGACACATTTTAGTTTTATTCACGGTCCCAGCCTTGACAAATTTACAATCTACTTTCAGCTGTAATCATTCCAAACATTTGCCTTTAATAAAATTTGGCTAGTTCAATGTAATAATAAAATAATATGTGGGAAAGAGTGTGAGCTTTGCTTCAGATGGGCCTGAATTCAAGCCCTGGGTGGTCCTTTCTAGTTATAGGAAACTGCCATCTCTGAATCTGTTTTCTTAGCTGTAAAATGTAATATTAGAGCATCAACCTGTGGGATGGGTGTGAGAATTAAATAAGATAATGTATGTAAATTGTGAAGCATAATGCCTGGCACATAGTAGGCCAATAAATTTTAACTGTCCCTTTCCCTGTCAAAGGCACCAGTCTCTGGGTTATCAATTCCAAAACACCTTCACATGAAACATTTTTCTCATTTAAACCGTATTAGAAACCAAAGTTATAACACCAGGAAAATACGCCGGGCGCGGTGGCTCAAGCCTGTAATCCCAGCACTTTGGGAGGCCGAGACGGGCGGATCACGAGGTCAGGAGATTGAGACCATCCTGGCTAACACGGTGAAACCCCGTCTCTACTACAAAATACAAAAAAAACTAGCCGGGCGAGGTGGCGTGCGCCTGTAATCCCAGCTACTCGGGAGGCTGAGGCAGGAGAATGGCGTGAACCCGGGAGGCGGAGCTTGCAGTGAGCTGAGTTCCGGCCACTGCACTCCAGCCTGGGCGACAGAGCGAGACTCCGTCTCAAAAAAAAAAAAAAAAAAAGGAAAATACTTAAGAAAAGTATGATATGCTTAAAAAATGTTATGTTAGATACCCCATAGGGCTCTCAGTAAATACTTGTTGACTGACAAATGTGTAGTCAGAGCATAAAATCACATAGATAGAAAGAGATAAAAAGTAATTTGGAATCTGCACAGGATAATGATTACACTTCAATAAGTATTTGATTTTTTTAAAGCAAAAGTAAAGGAAACAAAAAATCATTTTTTAAAAAATCAAGTTTTCTTTTATAGCCACAAGTTTATATAAACACCTATAGGCACAGTACCGAAAATACTGGCACCTTATTGGAAAAAACTGCTGCATTAGAGGCAAAAGTGTTCCAAATACAGAGGGACATGTGTATTCACGACATGTGACCACCTCTTTCCAAATGACACTGAAAGCACCACCCTATGCACCCATGACTAAAGAGCCTGCTAGAACATTTCCTAGAACATCATTGCCCTGAAGACAGGGTTTGCCTAACAAATAGTTATTAAGATTCCTGTACCATGCTAGGCTCTGGAACACCATGATGGACAGATCATGATCCTTGCCCTCAATTAGAGAGATAGTCCAATAAATAAATAATTGACAACAGGGAGTGATTAGCTGTTCCGAAGGCATGTATGACGACACATGGTGGCACAAAGAAAAGAGTCGTCTATTTTACCTGAAGGATTAAGAAATATTTTGCAAACATAGTAACAATTGAGCTGGACCTTCTTAAAAGATAAGAAACTTGCCATGCCAACAGAAGGAAAGGGTAGTCCATGCAGGGAGAACCTCCTGGAAAAGGCTGAAATTATGG